CTCAAAGGCTCTCGTTTCATCTACTGTGTGCACTTCCTTCGCGTGGTTCGGTCGCATCCGAGCTGTATTGAGCGCGTCTTCTTTTGTGGCATGGCATGTATTAGTCAGCTACTGTGGTTCTATCTGTGTGTATTTGTGTTCGTCTTGTTGGTGCATTTTCATTTGTCGGGCGCCTGTACCCCTTGCGTCTTCAATGTGCTCCCTAGTGCTGTCTATTTCTCGTTGTTTTCGCCTGTTGTTTCCAGCGGTATTCCACAGCTGCCATTTTAGCATTGGCCACTTGTTTTCTTTTCGCCATGCACGAACATGTTTCCTCCTAGGCGATGTTAGGCCGGTTTCTTTGTTCTACGTGGGTGTATAATCTTCTTTATTAGTTGAATTGGGCTTCAAAGTTTGGCTTTGTCTGATTTTCATGCCGAAGCGTGAGGTGATTTGTCTCCTATGATGTTTCTTCGTCGTTTTTGCTATGCGGTGCCTTCTTCGCAGTGAAGATGTTTGGGCGAACATAAAGGAAGCCATAGAAAACTCCGCTTCTGCCTCTACCCAGTCTGCTCTCCTTGNGCAGACCTTAGCTGTGAGGGGCACGATAGGGGAAACGCAGTTTCCCTAGTGCCTGCACAACAAGGAGCCGTAGTGAGGATATGTTTCTTTGAACCCCTAGCATGGATTTAAAGGGGAAAAAAGGGAACAAGGTGTCTCTTAGCGAGCTGAGTTTTGGCTCGCAGCCACTGCAGCTGCATTTGCTTTTGCGTGGCCCTCTCTTTAGACCGTTGAACCGTTTCAAGTAGATCTCCTCAACTTGACGACATCGCCCTATAATAAAACAGTCAAATAGAAGCACAGAGAGGATCTCTTGGTGGAGTTTTCCATACAATATCCTGCTCCCCTAGAGCTTTCCATCTCTTCTGTATACGTGCTAGAGGGGGAAAGGGACTTCAGAGGTCGCTCAATGCAGGGTGCATAGTGTGGGATGGTTGCAGCCACTCCCGCATCACCTCATAACGACAGCAGCCGGCCAAGCAATTTAGCCAGGTCTCAAAGCAGTCGGTTGCGTTCTTAGAGTAAAGCACTGCCTTCTCTCGGGATTTTGCAAACGCACCCACAATAGGTGTGCTTTAAAGCAAAACGATTGAGGTATACTGGGTGTTTCGTTGTCTGCACTGTGCAAATGACCCCGCCGAGAGACAGAACACCAGACATCTATGTGAAGTGGTAAATTCCCCGGTGTGAAAATGCTTAGGCAGAAAAGAGAATTTGCTGTCTCCAAACCGGCGCATCAAAGCCTCGGGCTCGTCACCACTCTACCCATCTAGCAGAGAAGAAGGGGGTTTGCAATCAAACACTGCTCTGGTAGCAACGTTCACTAATTTGTTTCACTTCAGATGAAACGAAATTCGTGCAATTTAGCTGAAACGAGCAAATTTCCGCTCCCGCACGGGAAATGGACGCAGCACCGCAAATTATCACCACAATTTGCCTCATTTCAACTGAGAAACAAATTGCTTATTTTAGCTAAGGTGAAATCAGTTTAGGAATGAGGTATACGATGGTCACATGCCGCAGGACAAGTGAGCTCGTTTCGGGCTGCTCGCTGCCGAGGCGCTGTCCTCACCGCATGGACAACCCGCTAGAAAGTTAGCAGACCAACGGCCTTGCAGTGCAGTTACAAATTACAACCAGGTACATTTGTTTGGGATCTTGCTTCTTTGAGATTTAATTGTTGAATTTCTGCCGAAAACCATGAGAAAGCTCAGTTCAGTTCTGGTGGTTGCTACCGTGCTGGGGGCCGCCCACGGAGTGGAGAGCGGCAGCTCGGGTCAAAAAGGGTCGGCAGGTGAGTGGAAGGAAAAATACAACAGAATAATCTCATGTTGAGTTGTCTGGATAAAGATTTCAGAGATGCTCGCAAGGGTTGTTTTGGTTTTGCTTCTGTGCAGAGTCCGTCGACTGCCTTGCCGACTTTAATGCCGCTCGAGAACGAGCAGGTCTCGACGCGATCATTGCAGAGACGGACGCAACGAAAAAGTTGCCCACAGAGAGCAAAGCGTATATTGCAGCTATTTGCTCTGCCATACAGGAGGCAAGCGGCCTGCATTTGCCCTACCATTGCCGTAAACGGAGTCTGTATGATTCTCTGCTCATATGCGTTTATGTTCGGCAGCCGTTGCAGGCTACATGGACCTGAACGCATTGGCTTGCTATTGTTTGCATTCAGGGAAAATTGGTTAATATTACGGAGGCAAATACCAAGCGCGAGGGCACCTATGCCTACGCGCCTGAGACAGGCCCTGCCGATGGCTGCTCGGCAGCCGTCTCCTATTGGAAAAAAGCCCACGTAAACTTTGGCGAACTCCCGCCAGAATACGAGGAAAAAAAGGATGTATATGTGGACAGCCAGAACGTCTCACTTGTGGCCCTGTACAACCCGAAGGAGGGCGCCACACTTGACTGCGCCTACATCACTTGCCCTATCTCGACTGCGACCACCACATCCGCCCCCACCACTACCAGTGCTACTACAAGCAGCTCCTCCTCCTCGAGCGATACAGGCGGAGCTAGCGGAGGTACCGGAGGTAACGGAGGTAGCGGAGGTGGCGGAGATAGCGGAAGTAACGGAGGCGGCGGAGGTGGCGGAAGTAGCGGAGGTAGTTTTTTCAGTGCCGAGCGAAGCGCTGGGGCTTCAGCGAGCAGGGATGTCCAGGGTCGGGCATCAGCAGCCGCTCCCATATTCTACCCTGTTTCCCGTGAAGGAGACTCTGGAGACCCTCAGAGGACTGGACCATCCGTTCGGCGCCTCTCCACTACCTCAGAAACGGTTACCGGCCTCGTTTGCCTCACCAACCCTGCGGCTCTTGTAGATGGACAAAAACCCTTCACGTACGTTGTTGAAAATATACTGCCTTGGCTTCCTATTGGCTGTATCGCCTCCTCTAGTGGTGTTTGTCTTCATTGTTTCATCTGCTCTGTGCACTCCCTTCGTCTGCTTCAGTCACGTCCGAGCTGTATTGAGCGTGTTTTCTTTTGTTTTGTGGCCTTCCATGTATTAGTCAGCTACTGTGGTTCCATCTGCGTGTTGTTGTGTTCCTCCTGTCGGCGCACTTTCATTCGTTGTCCGCCTGCGCCCCTTGTGTCTTCAAGGTGCTGCTTAGTGCCGTCTAATTCACGTTCTTTTTTGCTTGTTGTGTGCGTCGCTATCCCGCCCCTGCCGTTTTAGCATTGATCATTTGTCTTTCCTTTGCCATGCATGAACATGCTTCTTTCTCGGCAATGTTAGGCCGGTTTCTTTGTTCTACATGTCTTCATAACGCTCTTTATTAGTTGCAGAGGGCTTCAGAGTTTGGCTTTGTCCGATGTTCATGCCGAAGCGTGAGATGGTTTTGCTTTTGTAACGTGTTTTTGACCTCTCTGGGATGTGGTGTGTTCTTCGCAGTGAAGATGTTTGGGCGAACATAAAGAAAGCCATAGAAAACTCCGCTTCTGCCTCTACCCAGTCTGCTCTCCTTGCTACCGCTTTACTTCTCCTGACTTCTTTCATGGTTCTCTAGGCCTTGTCAACAAGGCACAACTCGGTGAGATCTTTTTGAACCTCACTTGCCATGCCTGTATTAGTGCAACTGCAGTATCCGCAGTGTCTGCAGAACAGCAGGAATGATATGTTTCCTTGAACCCCTAAACTGGGGCTCCCTACAGCGATATTGCATGAAACAAAGTGTCACACAGCGCTCCTTACTTTGGCTTTCAGCCACCGCATCGCTTTTGCCGCTTGCGCGGTCCTATCCTCAAACCGCAGAGCCGTTACAAATGTAGCTCGCCATGACTAAGACTTTGCCCTTTAGCTGACCATGGCCGGAGATATGGTAGGATAAAGCACCAAACAGAAGCCCAGGATACGGATTTTGAAGGCTTCCTGCAGAGCATGTATGCCCCGCTAGAGCTTGCCAAACTTTTTGTATATCGTATGTAAACGAGTAACATGTCATACCTCGTAGAAAGCTAAGCGGCGAGGGTGTAAGGCATGCATCCACTCATGCCCTCCTGCAACACCAGCACAACAGGCCAAGCAGTTGAACTCAGAACCATGTTCAGCGGGCTGCTTTCTCCGAGTGCTGCACCGCCTTGGGTCCGGAGGTCGCAGCTCCGATTCCCAGCATTGGTAGTTGAAGCTCTGTTGCGTATAAAGAAGAATGCCTGGGACACATTGGAGGCTTCGCTTTTGTGCTTTGTAAGTGATTTTTCCAAGTGAATGGAGACAAGAAGAAGACGTCAAAGAGTCCCTTGTCTCGTGTGGTGATGCAAGAGCGGAAGGGACAGTTTATTCTATTAGCGAAGCTCCATCGAAGCCTGGAGGTGTTCAACCCACCTTTCTCTCCACCAAGAGATGGGAGTCTTGTACTTACACAAAAAAGAGCAAAATTCCCTCCCACACAAGAAACGACCACACTGCCGCCACCCCTCATTGAAATTT